GAAGACCTCGACGCACAGGAGTTTTTAGGCCTCTCAATTAAAGGATTCGGGTAAATTTTCACTACCTAAACCTGACTGGGTTCAAAAAGTAGTCATATGCGAAAGATCTGCTAAAATCAGAACGAATAGTACGTCACAGCTGCTAAAATCCACTTCTTGGATCGAACCACCACAAACTTGGAAACAGATTACAGAAATCGGACCTATAGAAAGGACTTAAGTCAATCAAGCCAAATCAGGAATAAATTCATCAACACCCACATTATTGTCCACTGCAAACTGTAAGTCCTCTTTGTCTTTTTCCGACATCGATGGTAGGTCAACAGGTGCGCCGGGCAGGTTGACGCCCTTGCGAGAACCCAACTTGCCGCCGTTCTCAACAACGCAATCCAGGTAGTTAGGACCTAAGACAACGAAGATCCAAGTAGGAATTAAGAACGTGGGAACCCAAATACACACTTTGACTGCAACTAACAATCTCTCAAACCCATAGCCGCGAAAAGCACTCAAACCATTCAAGCGTAAAAGTAGGAGATCAACTTTGAAAAGGGAGAAGTAAAGATGTCAATTCAATTTAAATACTTGTAAGACTTGAAAATATAATCAGTAGTTAGGATATTGGGTTTTGCAATGGAAATGTACAGCAAAAGCGTACCTTTCTGTTGTACCACGAGGCAGATGAGACCGTCGTCGATGAAGACTTTAGATCCCTCGTGAAGCACGTGAACAATGCGTTCGTAGTCGACGTAGATCATGCTCTTGCTACACTTATTCTCAAATTCTTTGTTAGATGTCAGGCGAACCTTGTCACCAAAGCCCAAGGTCACCTCTCCAGTGCCGCTCTGAAGAAAAGTCACAGTTGAGAGTAACTGACAGCAGCTCATCAGAGAAAGCTGATACCACCCAAGAAAGTCAACCAAGGAGACCGATCAACCTTCGGAACACCAGAACCAATAGTTCCGTGTTTTCAGCATGCTGATTCAATATGGATTCCGGAACATCTTGATGAGTATACGTCACTAGGAGCTGATAAAGTGCGCATTTTAGACCCATGTAACTGAACTAAAGCCCTTAAACTCAAGGTTACTGGTCATATTTGACAATATCCGTGATAGTACCAACAGAGTAGGATAAAAGCAAACAATTCTGATTACCAAGGACTAAAGAGGGTCGTTGATAGAAATGGACAACTTACGTAATGTAAACGAACGACACTCAATACTTACCGGGAAAAATCATGAAACAAGCCGCAAAGAGAAGTTGCTTAACATCAAAGGCTCAAAAGAACAGAAACACTCTGCAGCAGATTTA